CTGGCCAGCTGAGCCGCTTCACCGGCCTGGTCCGTGCCGCCCCCTCGCTGCGCTTTGCCCCGCCTGGGTCAGTTCAGGCCTGACCTTGCTGCGTCCTGCGGGCGCGCTGTGCCTGTGCCTGTGCCTGGCCAGTCCTGCTGGTTGCTGGAGGACTTGCCTCCCAACGCCCTGAGCCCGTTCAGCTTTCGTGGGTGTGACCTGACAGCCCTTCTCCCCCCGCCCCCCCGATGGTGCAGGTGGGTTGCTGGGGGGATGGAGGAGGCAAGCTGAGACCCAGCCCCTCAACTTAGGGCAGCCCCTGGTCCCGAGGTGTGGAGTGAGTGGTGCCATTCAAGGCTTTCATCCTCGTCCTCTCCGCTCCCTGCCCCCTAGAGCAAGAAAGGGAAAGACCCCAACGCTCCCAAGCGGCCGATGTCGGCTTACATGCTCTGGCTGAACGCCAGCCGCGAGAAGATCAAGTCAGACCATCCTGGCATCAGCATCACGGACTTGTCCAAGAAGGCTGGGGAGCTCTGGAAAGCCATGTCCAAGGAGAAGAAGGAGGTGAGGGTCTGGGTTGCTCTGCTGGTAGGGAGAGCTGAGCCTGGTCTAGGAGGGGGACGCCGGACCTGGGGACGCCGGACCTGGGGAGGTCGGACCTGGGGAGGCCTGTTGGGCTCTTGCTCGGCCTCAGGAGCCTGGTGCTCTGTTGACGGGAGGTCGGGAAGGGAGCGCGGCAGTGGGGAGGCGATGCCTGGGGCTGGGGAGCTGTTGGGTGAGCGGAGGCTCGAGCCAAGGTGGCGAGGGATGTGGTGGGGGGGCCGGCATGTGGGAGAGGAGGCCCTGCTGACCTTGTGCTCGCGCTGCAGGAGTGGGATCGCAAAGCGGAGGATGCCAGGAGGGACTACGAGAGGGCCATGAAGGAGTACAGCGTGGGCGGCAAGTCGGAGAGCTCCAAGGCGTGAGTGCGCTGGCGGGGGGTGGCAGGGCTTTACCCCTCCGGTGGTCGGGCTGTTCCCCAGCCTCACGGTGCCTGGGCCTCTCCAGGGCTGGGGGCGGTGTGAGGAGTGTCCTTGGCTCTGTGGTGCCAGAGCGGGGCTGGTGGGCTGTCAGCAGGGCAACGCTTCTCTTCTCCCTTCTTCCCTCCCAACATGGGCACAGGGAGAGGTCTAAAAAGAAGAAGAAGAAGCAGGAGAAGCAGATGAAGGGGAAAGTGGAGAAGAAAGGTGCCACCTCCAAGTCTTCGTCCTCCACCAAATCCCCTGCCAAGAACATGAGCGAGAGCTTCAAGAGCAAGGAGTTTGTCTCCAGTGACGAGAGCTCCTCGGGAGAGAGCAAGAAGGAGGTGGGGCCCTCGGCCGGCTGGGGTGGGGCAGCTCCTCTCCTGCTGCCTTTCTGGAAGGCGGCCCCCTCCTCCTGTCCCTGTAGGGGCTGGGACCCTCTGGTACCGCTTGTCACATCCTCCTGGGTGCGGGTGGCCTGTCTGTGTGCTACACGTGTCCCCGCTGTCCCCCCGGGGTGACAGGGGAGGTGGGGGAGCGGGAGCTGCCCCCCTGACCTCCTCTCCTGCCGCCCTGACCTCATCCCCCCCTGCCCGCAGGACTCGGAGGAGGAGGGG